AAAATAAAAATTATTAAATAAATAAAATAATTTCTTATTATCAACAAACAACTTCTATCTAATAATTTAAATTACACTGCCCTAAATTACAGAAAACCTATTTTGTTCTTAGAATATACAAAACTATGAGCAGGACTGTAAAAGGGATAAAAGCAAGTGATTTCATGATGGTCATAATGAACAAAGCATCGGACCTCCCGTGAGTTCTAATTTTATTTTTGACAGCAGTTCAATTACCCTCTCTTCTGTTTTCCGCAACCCGTCCAGCGTGGCTCTCATGCACTTCCTCCCCAACTTCCCACACACCCTCTATCACCACGCGCCTCCACTTCCCCCACCCGTGACTCTGCCGCACCCGACCAACGGTCTCGATCTCCCACGTGCGTCCACCAGCACGTCCGAACCGACCCCACGAATTTGCTGGTAGGAGGACAGACCCGTAATTTCATCACTCGTCGGAATAAAGATGCTGGACACTTGGTCTCGAAGTAACTGCTCTTGGGGACACCAAACCCGACACCATCTCCCACTTTTATTTCCCAAAAAAAAAAAATTCAAAATTCAGTCTACATCTCCACCGTCAGAGTTAATGAACCGAGAGAATCTCAAGGATGTATTTAGATCGGACGGTTGTAAAGAGCGGATCAAAAAACATATATTTTCGCCACGCTTTCGTCATATCTGAACCGTTATTTTTATAATTTTCGGTATTTTTTCCTCTTCAGTACGGTTTGCACAGACGCAGCAAAGCTAAAACCAAAGCGGAACAGAGAAAATCCTCCCAACTTTCCCTCGCATTTTTCCTGGATTTTCCTTCTACCGTCGGAAAATCTCTCGGTTGCTGCTCATGGTACGGTTTCTGTGCTTTTCTCGGTCGATTTTTGTTTCACTTTCTGCTTTTCGTGAGCTCATTTATGGTGATTTCGGTGGTTTTGCATTCAGGAATGGTAGATTTGGAGTTTTGGTGCTTCACATTTCCGAGGTAAGCTTCAGATCTACTGCAAATGTGACTCTGAATGCTTTGATTAATCTCCTATCTTTGTTCTTCAGTAGCGCCGTCGGTGTTACTTCGCTGACGGTGAATCGGAAGTTGTTTTCTTACTAATTTAGATTCTTTGTTTGTTTTAACTTCTGTGTTGGTAATTCTGATCTTTATTTTGAGCTTATTGTGTGTATATATGGAGTTTTTGATTGATTTGAGTGATTCTTGTTTCTGTCATGAATCTCTTCATATGATTTGCTTGAATTGTCATAAAATCAAGTGTGGTAATGTTGTCACGTCGCAATTGTTTCAGTGATATTGTCAAAACTTAGATCAAAGCCTTGTGAAATTGTGAGACAAGATTTTACGATAATCCTGAAAAAAGGCAACTTTGACACTCATTGGATGGTAGTTTTGACACTTCAGCGAAACTTTATTGTGCCTTTGTGTTGATTTTGCTCCTTAAATCTCAGCATTCACTTGTTCATCGAGTTGTTCTCTGACTTGTTAAGAGTTAAAGAGTCATTTGAACACAGAAATAGGCAGGCAACAAGGAATAGGTTTTTAACACTTAATGCTTTGAGTCTGGAGGTGCACAATTGAATGTCGTGACTCGTGAGGTGCACAATTGAATGTTGTGACTCGTGAGGTGCACAAGTGAATGTCGTGATCATATTTAACTTGGGCACTTCATATGGTTCTATCTCTTTCTGTTTGGTTGCCTCTCTATTTTCTGTCTATTGTATTTTCTTCAATGATTTAGGGCATTATTATCTGATGTAATGCAGTGCACTTCAGGTGTTCACGGTTTCTTGAAGCCTTTCAGTAATGGGCAAGTCTCCAGGAAAATGGATTAAGACTGTACTTTTTGGAAAGAAATCTTCCAAGGGTAGCAATCCTAAAAGAAGGGAGGTAATATGATTAATTATTAAAAGTCATTTTACATATTTTTGAACAACAAAGATGCCAAAACTCATGTTCATTAGTTGTTTACTGAGAAAATTCCACCTGTGAAGTATTGATAGTTATTTCTTTGAACTACTAAACTATTTGGGTGTTTAATATGCTATTGCTTTAAACTGCTAAACTATTGGTTTCAGAATATGTTTTTTCCAATACCCTTCGCTGCGTGAGATTCATTTATGGATTCTACTTTCTAATGCATATTTAAATTCTTTAGCTGGAAATGACCTTAAGGTGTTTACATGCATAGGCTAAAGTCTAAATTAAAGGATTCTACTACTAATGACTTTAAGGTGCTTAGGTGGATAGGCATAGTCTAAACTTGGAAATAAGTTGATTAACATATTTATTAGTTTTTGTTTTATTTAGTGTTTTCTGCCATAAGGAGTTTTCACTTTAAGATTCTGAGAATCATTATATACCTTTAGCTATTGTTTTAATTAAATAAGTATGATTGGCTATCAACATTCACCGATTGGATAAAATCCATTAACCTATTCATATTCTCTTTCAATTTTCATCATTATTTGCAGAAAGTTATCAATGAGAAAGAGGTGTTGGTTACTGCCAAGGGATCTGAGTCTGATGTGGCTGGGGCTCCTCCTTCAGCTTTGCGTCCAACTCCCACTTTGGCTGATGGAGATGAAATGAATTTGGAACTGGAGAGCAGGGAAGCTGCAAATATATCAAATGATGGCAACATTTCGTTGCCAGTTAGCCAAGGCATAGACTTGCAGACATCTACCCTCAAAGAGGCACCATGTGACCCTGAAATGATCAGGAGGGAAGAAGCTGCAACCATGGCACAGGCTGCTTTTAGGGGTTACCTGGTAATCTTCTCTTGTTCATGGCACTTTCATGGTGGGTGCTTGATTAAAGGACAACTTTCTAAGATTTTTCTATGAGCTTAATTAATCATTTCTTGTTATAAATTTCTGATGAGACATCACCTTTAGGGCTTTTGGTGGAACAGAGTCCTGGATAATTAAGCATATGGAAATTTTCCTCATGAATCAGCTGAAGATTTCATAAAGTTATTTTTCTTTGTTCTGCATTGGCTATTTTATTTGCTATGGCCTTGGAATTTGGATTTTTCATAATATTTTGTTCTTCAGGATCAACTGTTGAGACCTATGATCATGTGACCTTAATATTGATCAAAATGATTTGTGGATGCAGTGATGCATCACAGATTTTTGGAGGAAACATGGCTATTGGTGCTTATTTGTGAAATTAGTAACATAAAATGTTGTTTCTGTTAGGGTTATTCTTCAGAAAAAACTTTCTAGCTTCTAACTTTTAATTCTAGTTTGGGCACTAGCAGCGCAAATTGGAGACTGGAATGTCCTAAAATCACTGGATGATTTAATCCTGTGGTTCTTTTCTTGGTGATATATGTTTGTCTTCTCTATCTGCTAGAAGTTGTCAAACAAGTTGTTGAAATTCATTTCTGTCTTGCTGGTGTTATGTTTCTTAAGATACAAATGTTTGTGTAAATTGGTGTTTTTTTCAAGTTTCAACTCCGTGGGTGATTCTTTTTGCATGTTTTACTTTGTCATGATTTGTTGCGATTTTAAATATGCTTTGTTTGAGATTATACCTGTATTAACGCTATCACTTCTTTTCAAGGCTCGACGGGCATTTCGAGCTCTCAAAGGCATAATAAGGCTGCAGGCACTTATACGTGGTCACTTGGTTAGGCGACAAGCTATTGCTACATTGTGCTGTGTGATGAGGATTGTTAGGTTACAGGCACTTATTCGTGGAGTAAAGGTCAGGAATTCTGATATTGGGCTTGAAGTGAACAAGAAATGCAGTCAAGTGAGAACTCTGGTAATTTTCTATAGAACATTTTGTTCTGATATTGGGCTTGAAATTGACTCACTAGATAAAAATCTAATTGAGTTTGACTAGTTTTTGCATATTTTCATTTCTGTCTCTTTCTGGCCAAAAAATAAAGGTTAAATCCCCTTTTTGGTCCCTCAACTATTGTACGGACCCCTGACTTAGTCCCTCAACTCAAAAAATCCTTGACTTGGTCCCTACTGTTTACCATTTTTACCCCAATTTAGTCCATCCGTTAAAAATCCAATGACGTGTCCTGTTAATTAACTGAAGTATGATGATGTGTCAAAATAGAGTGACACCTTGTATGCACAC